GCTCTCAGCCAAGCCCGCAGCTGGAGGTGGGTGGCTGCTGAGCTATCAATCCATTCCCTCTCAACCTACCCCAAAGACATTTTCTTCTTTGGCTTGCTCATGTGGAATGTTGAGTAATGCATTCACTATGGAGAGCGTGCGTGTCCGCCTCATCCTTGAAAAAACTCACAGACTATCGCTTTGCACGTTGCATTTCAACATGTATTGATTATGTGGTCTTCACACATATCAAAACAGGAGAAGTGGGAATGCAATGAAACGTGTTTCGGAACTTGTGCACCATAGAGGCCGGCTTGTCAGGAAGCTCAGACTGCTGTCTATCATTTGTTCTGGCTCCCTGATCGTATATGCTCAATGATAAAACTATTTTGGCTCTTCTATTGTGGAAAGAATATTCCCTTGAAGAACCCTTACCTTGAAATTTCTATTTGGATTACTCAATATTGGTTCCAACTTGATGGCGCATAACACACACACACACTTTCTTGTAGGAAGAACCACAAAAGAAGGAGATATTGGTTCCAACTTGATGGTGCATAACACACACGCACACACTTTTTCTTGTAGGAAGAACCACAAAAGAAGGAGGGAGCAATTTAAAGATGAAGATACATGTTAAAAAGAGTGGAGTCCTTTGGCAGTCTGGTGCCATGTTCCCCTCCTTTACCCCAATAATCATCAGTCTGGTTTCATGGCGTCACACTTTTCCTGGAAGCACCAGATTAATGATAACACTCACACACACAGAAGGGCCACAGCAGATGGGATTGGATCTCACATTGTGGAAATTTGTAGGTTAGCCTTTGCTTACACTGGAGCAACAGCTCCAGACTTCTAAGCTTCTATTGGACATCTTCTGCAGGAAAAAGAACATAGACCTGTCCATTTTCCATGGTAGGCTTAATACCAGCTTCAGATACATCTGTGACATAGACAGATATAATACTGTGGAAGGCATTGAGTATTCGGGATGTGCAATCAAAAGCAGAGTTGAACATTTTGAACAGTCTGATTTCCATTTGTTTTCTACATCATCCCTTAAGTGTGCATAAGGATATTTCAAATAATGTGATTTAATAATACCCTGGAGAGTTTATAATTAAAATGTTAATCGCAGATTAGGCACTATGTTAATCTATAGCATAATCCTTTGTATGTTAATTTGGAAGTATGGCCAAAATAAGTCATACTTATTTTATGGTCATAGTGAGGAGGATTGTGGTTAGAACATTACTGTAGATGAAGAGGAAAATGTTAGCATTATTTTAATAAATATATAGCAGTTGCCCAACAATAGAGTTCGGGTTTATAGAGAGAAGTATTTTCTCTTCTAAAAGGGCAAGCTATTGATATATATCTAGGGAAACAGATATATATAATTGAGGGATTGTGGAGGAAGATTGAGAAGGAGCCCTTAACTTAGATGCAGAAACCCCAGTGCCGGCTTATACACATGATGATCCCTCGGCAGGGTGTAAGTTGAATTTGCAAGAGACTTGAAGAAATAGTAGGTTCTCGGCATATAGTTGGAAGCCATTTGGGGCAGTCTGTATTTCACTACCACCACCTTGGCAGCTGTCCTGGGGTGAAGAAGGGGGTGAGCAGAGAAGGACTTTAAAAAAAGAAAAGGAGTTGTCATCTTGTTCCTTGACGGGGTGTGCAAACCGGAGGGGGGGTCTCACTGGGAGAGGGAATGTGGGTCAAGCAGCTGTTTGTTTCAAGGGAACATGAGGGTGAAGCGAAGGATGCCTTTTTTTTAAAAAAACAAAAGCCGGAGTAGCCCACAACGGCTGACCCAGCACTATTCTGGGTTCTGGCAGAGAGATCGCAGGCATCTGCGGAATGCCGTCCATGCTGGCTTGCTCTGAGTCTGTAACATCAAGAGGGCTTGAGAGATGAAACAGAACACCCCTGCCTGTGAGGATGAGAGGAGGGAATGGCTTAAAAGGTAGAACCGTACCCTTAGACATGCATTGGGTTAAACCCAGCAGCCCATGATCTGAGCCAAGACCAAGCACCTCGTCCCAGGGTGAAGTGACTCTCTCCCCTTCCCCACATACAGTACCCCCTTCTCAGAACTGAGGCTGTCCGCTTTCCCAAAGCACTGCAACAAAAGAACTGGACACAGGGGTGCTGGGTGCAGCTGCCAAATAAGATCAGAGGCACTTAATTCAGAATAGTAAATACAAACGGGACCTGCAACACCATTTTGCAGTATGGAGTGCTTGTTCACTGATCCAAGGTCCTAGATGTGGCATAGTCAGCCCCCATTTTCTGCAACCCCGTGGAGCTGTGGCCGAAACAGGGACCAGTGTATGGCACTAATAAGGAAACTTAATATACATATGTTTTGGCTTTGATGTGCTAAACCAGGGCACAGGTGTATGAACTTAGATGGCCCCAAAGTTATTTCTTGGGGAACAGAGAAATCAGAATTGCTGAATTAGTTGCAGTCTCCAGTTCTGAACGAGGGAAGGAAACAGGACTGAAAGTCACCGAGGAGGAACTCAGGAAGCTGCTTCAGCTTATTGTCTATTTTCAGCCACAGATCTGCTGAGTTATGGCCTGGAATTCTCTTGGCACATTGAATATGTGTGTAGGTTTTAAATCCCTTTAGCAGCTTCCCTCCCCCATTGCTAAAAAAGAGGTGTCATCTTGAGAAAAGCGTCTAAGCACTAGAATTTGTGCAGAACTCTAAGAGAAAAGTGGACTGTTCAGCTGAGACTCAAATGCTACTCTCTCTCTCTCTCTCTCTCTCTCTCTCTCTCTCTGTGTGTGTGTGTGTACACATTGGGTTCCTCTTCCCCCATCTTTAATTGCAAGGTTAGAAGGGTTAACAGGCTTTGCAAGTTCCCTTTTTCAGCAGGAAAAACATTCATAAAGGGAGACCACGTCTCCATTTGAAAAAAAAAGCAAGTAATACTTGATAGAGGCAAGTTATACAGAAGGTTGTGTGAGTGTTTCCTGTGGAAATTCCATGAATACAGCACATAAGAGAGAACTTCCTGTGACTCTTTCTTCTACTTTTTCATGTTCTTTTACATTCCCATACAGATTCTTGTGTTATAATGGCCATTTTTCAGCCCCTGTCACTCTCTAGGAGCAACTGACTCTGATATCCTGCAACAAGACTCACTGATAGAAGCTCTCATTGAACATTTTCTGCAATATCCCAGGGATACCTATCAAGGAATTAGCCTAAGAAAATTGGGGAATTAAATCCATAATGCTAGCAAGAAGGGGCAGCTGCCCCTTCTGATCTACAAAACTGATTAGAGGGTGCAAAAGTGGGAAGAAATGTTGCGGAGCTGGCTATAACCATGATAACTAATAATAGAACCCCCTTCCCTGGCAGCTTTCCCTGGATGAGATGACATGAGTCCAGTGGTCAGTTTTTGGAGGAAGCTGAGCACTGCTGAGAAGCTGCCATCCCAAGCAAAATACTGTATATCTTAACCATGCTTAAAAAGAAAAAGGAAAGAAGGCAGTCATTTCTTTACTGATTGTGTTGTTGTTTAGTCGTTCAAGTCATGTCCGACTCTTCGTGACCCCATGGACCAGAGCACACCAGGCCTTCCTCTCTTCTACTGCCTCCCAGAGTTTGGTCCTCGTCTATTTTCCCTTCCAAGATGAGGAAGGGGAGAGTAGGTACTTTAAGAGATAGCTCGAGTAAGGAATTAAACATGTTAGCATCTTCAAGCAAGGTCCAAACATTCTTTAAAATCTCCTGGCTGACTTTACAAACCTCTCACGCTTTTTGACTTGATTCATCTACAGAAACCAGTGTTGTCAACTCAATAAAACTATTTTTTCCAGCTTCTATCTGATTTATAGCAGCAATGCAGGCCATATTAACAAATCTTAGCATTTGCTTTTTTTTTTGTTGACATTCCACAGAACATACTCATTTCCCATTTGTACAGCCCTCGTTTCACTCTCCATTCTTCAACCGCCGACACTTCAAAAATCTGTCCCATCTCTGCCAACCATGCTTTTCAGATAATGCCCTAACTGGGTTTGGACCGCTACAAGTTATTATTATGGGATTAACCAGCTGTGGTGTAACATAATTATGGAACTGCAATTAATTTCAGATGGGAGAGAAGATAATCTTTAGAGATATTAGATTGTGGGGCTACCTTTATTTTTCTTCATCCAGGAGCTGCTGAATATTTTTTTTTCTTTGTCAGATAGTGCACTCATTTAGGAAAAGTGCCACTATTCCTGTCTCATTCTGATGGGGTACATTTTCAGCAGCCCATTATCTTTTCTGGTGCCGCCACTGAATATATGTCAGCTAAGCAATCGACGGAGACACACAGGAACCTGATAATATGGCCACTGATATATGGTCTCTCTACTCTGTACATTTTCTTACTTGACTGTGCCTCTCCTTAGTACCATTTCCTATCTAATCTTTTAACAGGAGACATCATCACCATCCTTGCTGTTATTACCTGTATCTGGCTTTCCTCCAATCTGCTGCATAGCTCAGTGGTTTAGGACTCTGGTTGCAGAAGCAGAGAGATTGCGAGTTCAATTCCCCACTGTGCCTCCTTGACAGGGGCTGGACTCGATGATCCGTAGAGTTCCTGCCAGGTCTAAAGATTATTATTATTATTAAAACTCCATTTTGCATTCACATCTTTGTTACTAAACAAACCTGCGATATGTGGGGTGGGTCAGGCTGAAAGACAACGGCTGGTCTTAGGTAGTTTCATGTCTGAGTGTGGATTTGAACCCAGGTCTTCCCAGTCCTAATCCAGTCCTCTAATAACCATACCACTTTGGGCCTTTGGTGTGCAAAAAGCATCTTTAAACTACTGTGCAGTAAGTTAACCACTTGGCACAGACTGATATCCGTTGGGTGGCATTTGGGTCAAGGGACGCCAGCTGCCACCTACGCCATGAAAAACATACAAATGCTGGTTGTGTTTATGATCTGCACTGAGACAAGTGGCATTTATCCAGATCTCTCTTTTTTTTTCTTTTCTTTTTAGATTGACATTTTAAAGATTGTGGCCTGAATCGCTTGAACCACATCCTGTGTCCTTTTTGTGCCAAACCCTGCCTGGCTGCTGCTTTGCCTGTCTACTTACCGTTATTGCGGGTGACTAAGCCAAACAGAGATGAGATTCCCTTATGGCTTATTGCTTTTCATGCCGGCTGGCTTCGTTTGGTGATAAAAGTCAGAGACAGGGAGAGGGCCGCTATTCCCAGAACAAAAGGTCATCTGTTTCCTTTCAGAGAAGTTGACTCTGGTTTCATCTCTTTTTAAATGAAGAACCGTGATACATTTTTATCTGCCCTGTGGTGGAAGGAGAAAAGAGGGGGGGGGACAAAAGCAAGCAAAACTTTCTTGCAGCATGCCTCCTTTGCTTCATAGTGGGTCTTTATAATATAAGGTGAAACACACATCCTTTGGACAAACATTGGAGCAGAAGTAAGGCGACTATTTTACCCACAGCCTGTGCAACCTGCAACAAAATGCTGCAGCGCATCTCTTGACCATTCTTCCTCCACCCCAATTCTCCATCTTTATTTTGCCAGGTACTGAGCATGCCCAAGGCCCTACTGGGTTTTGCGGCGGTTTCTTAACTTTTATTTTTTCAGGCAAGATTTCCCACCATGACTGGCTGTCTGAGTGGGGTTTTTAGATGTTTTTTCAGGCAAGCTTTCCCACCATGACTGGCTGTTTGAGTGGGGTTTTTAGATAGACGGTTGTGCCTGACTGCTTTGAACGTGTTTTGGGGTGTTGCCTTTGTTGACCTTCTTTTAATGTTTTATTGGTTTGATCTCTTTGTGCGTGTGTGTGTGTGCGCGTGCGCACGCACACACGCACAAAGAGATAAAACCAATAAAACATTAAAAGAAGGTCAACAAAGACCACACCCCAAAACAATATGTATATTGTTTTTAGCTTTAAATATTTTATTTTAATTATGTAAGCTGGTTCTTCCTCAGGGTAAAGGAGAGGTTAAATATTTTAAATAAAAAACATATTTAAAAAATATTTTTAAAAATTATTTGTTTATTTATTTAAGTTAGTAATTCAGGACATTTAAGGATTACTGTGAGCATATTAATGTATCTTTCTATGGAATGGTAACAACAACAGCAACAACAACAACCTCTTCCTGCTGTCATACATAATAGATATGTGAACACTGGTGTGAGACTGGATATTGATGTCAGACCAGACATGCTGTTGTACTCACTCAGTCAAACAGAATTAGGTCCTTCATTGCTTTTTTAAACAAAAGAAACCAAAAAACGCTGAAAGCTTTGCATAAACTTATCTCCTTCTTTTAATTAATGCCTGCAAATCATGTGACGGACCAATTAAACACTGAGGTCAATGCTGCCTCCCGAAATTCTGGTCCCAGAACCCAAGGATACCAGATCTGGAACGGGTGCTCAGAAACGGTCTGTTCCTTAAAAATTACCTCTAAATTTAACACTTAAGGGTTGGGTCATAATTTCCCTGGACAGCCTTGATTCTGACTCAGCTGTTTTGCCCGTTTAGGCCAGAGAGGGAAAGAAACATATAAACCGCCGCTGGCGGGCAGCTGGTCTCTTCTAATCCTCAGACACCGATTAACCTTTTTCATTTTTTAACGTTGACTTTCGAATCTCATTCGGCGCGGAGGTAAATGTGAAAATGACACACTTCGCTGCAGTGTAATTAGAACACGCTCATGCACACGCAGACACGCACATGGAGGAAGGCAGCCGGGCTGATTTTTTTTTTTTTGCATTATCATGATAATGAATGTTCTCACTAGAAGCTTGTAATTATGCTTCCTTGTTTCTCCTTCCCTCTTTCCCACCAAAGAAAGTCTAATTAATTATAAACAGAGCCTAGGGTTGGTGCCATTGTGTGTGTGTGTGTGTGTGTGTGTGTGTGTGTGTGTGTGACTCCCTGGGTGTGTGTTTGTGTGTGTGTGTATATATATGACTCCTTGGTCTTTTTTCCTTTGGTTGGTATGGGGAGGAGAGGATAATTTTTATGTTGGCGAAGATGGAGATGAGGAGAAGTGATTAAGGCACCTAAGACATTTCTTTGCAGATATTTTAGTATAATATTCAGGCCCTTATTCCATGGATTTTTGGAAAACATCTTTACAAACTTAATGAGGGATGGTAGTGCAATATGAAGCATTTAGATCATTATGTATCCATACCATATAGGCAATGCATGAGAATATGGCATACTGCAGTGGTTCCCAGCCTTGGGTCACCAGATGTTCTTGGAATAAAATTCCCAGAAGCCTTCACCCGTAGCTATGCTGGTCATGATTCCTGGGAGTTGTCGCTCAATAGCATCTGGGGCCCAAGGTTGGGAACCACTGGAGGAGTGGATAAAAGGTTTGAAACAGTCCTCAGGAGACCTGAGTTCGAATTCTGTCTTGGCCATGAAAGCTCACTGGAGGGTGGAAATGGTAAAGCACACCTTGAACACTTCATATACATCAAACGCGCACTGTTAGGGTCCCCGTAGGTCAGAAGCGAATTGATAGCACAGAACAACACCACGAGTCATGTTGGTAGTTTTATCTACTGTCTTCTTTATGACCTCTAGAATTAAATTTGTGTCCTCTACTGCTTCTGAATCGAATTTGTCACTCAACAATTAATCCACCAGAATATTTATCTACCACAGTAACCCCGAAAGCTTTCCTCTTGACAGTCCAGATTCCTTCAATTCTTCATTCATGGGAAAACTGTCCGAACCACCAATTCCATTCCCAATTTATTAATGTATGTTCACCCTTTGCTTTATTTATTAAATAGCTTTTTTCTTTGTTCCCAAATGGTGTGTTGAAAGTGACACAACATGATGTCGGGCCACAGAGGCAGGATTCTTGCTGAGTGTGCTATAAAAGGTAGATTCACCTCAGTTTTTTGTTTGTTCGGTTGGTTGGCTCCTGTCGTTGTGTCTGGGACTCCAAGTAATGGCTCTCAACACATTTAACCTGCCATAAACAATGTTGGCAAGGCCAGTCAACCCGGAGTGGTTTGTGTGCTCCCCACTCCCACACTGCAGCCCTCATTATAAGCCCTTATCAGCCTGCCCTTTTTTCTTCCGGTATGATAACGAAATCGGTGCCTTGTCAGTTGAAAGTTTATGTGCCCTATTTATAGTGCTCCGATGTCTCCGAGCTTTTATATTCATGCATAAGGAGCTCTTTGCTTGTGTGTGCCAGCAGCCTCGCATGAGTCAGAGCAGAATGTGCGTCTGTATAATAGCTCTTTTGTATTTTCGCCCTCCCTCTGCAGAGGGAAAGCATGCCCTCCCCTTTGATAGACGAGACTGGCGCGGATCAAACGGTTTTGTGCGGCCTTGGCACCCACCCACGAACTCAGGCGCTGGAGGCGGCCCTCCAGCGCCAGAGGAACCTGGAGCCTTTCCCCCTCCTCCCTCCACAAACAGTTCACAACCACCCCCCACCCTCTACGATAAACTGGCTGAGTCAGATGCTGCTTTAGAGCATGGGTCATCACCAGGCCACAGAGAGACAGTGTTTGAGACTGCAGGCAAAAACTGCTTTAAAGCACCAGGGAGAAGCATGGGTTACTATAGGCAAATTGTTGTCTCCAAGCCATAGAGCCAGTGTTTTGTCCTTGACAAGACACAGAACACCTTCACCTTCCCACTAAGGTGACACCTATTTATTACTCGCATTTTTACAAGCTTTCGAACAGCTAGGTTGGCAGGAGCTGGGACAAACGATGGGAGCTCACTCCGTTGCGTGGATTCGATCTTATGACTGTTGGTTTTTGACCTCGCAGCACAGAGGCTTCTGCGGTTTAGCCCGCAGCGCCACCACATCCATGTACAGGAGATAGACCCACACATAATAATATATATTGAATGACATGATACTCTTGAAAGCTTAGGATTTTCAACACAGGATTTTCATCTTGCACATTTAGGGAAACAGCCTGGAGTATATGCAGGCCTTTACATGCTCTCTTGGATTGTGGTCTAAGAAAGTTTAGGAGGGACTTAGAGGGAGCAGCTGAGAGGGAAATGGGAAGATAACAGCTGGTGTATGCTATAGCCACACAGTGGAGAGTCAGTTGCCCACCCCACCCCATCAGAAGGAGGGACTCTAAACCTCCTCCCACGCCTGAGCATTCAGAAGGCCTTCCCATGGCATCATTGTTCCACGTGTTTTCCTTCTAGACTCTGTCCCCAGTTGCTTCTAACAGCTGCAACATCAATATTCCATCTGTGGAATTTATGACACTCCTCTCCTGGTTTCTAAAGTACACGGCGAGCCTTTAAAATGTTCGCATTTATATACAACCCCCCCTCATAAAATGGGATTTCATTCATGACGTAAGTGGGTGTGGATTTGGAAAGCGTTTTTCTAGGCATTAGGAAAATGGGATTTTCTCCAAAGGAGGGTGGGAGGAAACGGATGAGAATGAAATAAATATGCCTGCTAAGAGCAAGGCAAATAAGTATTCTGAGACCATCTGCGTAACTTGTTTTGGAGCGAACAGTGGGCTCCCAGGCAGATCAGAAATGTGTTCCCACAGCGTACCAGCAAGGAATGTAGTTTTTATATAGAGGAGAGAAGAAGGTGTGGGTATTCCCTCCAGCTTACACAGTGGACAGTGCCCACAAGCGTTTGAAGGTCTCCTGGTTCTATAAATGGGGATGCAGCGGCTTCATGAAACCATCGTAAGAGTCCAGTCCAGTTGGTCCATGTGACATCTCCCCCCCAATTGGCCAAAATGGGCTCCTAGGACAGAGTGGGAGGCCAAGCAAGTGTGTGTATGTGACGGGTTGCATTCTGACCCACAAAACAAAACAAACATATGTGTCCATAGCTCCAAGCCCCTTGAATATCCTTAAGAAAATCTAGGATTTTCTTGCAGATTGTCCTTGATCACGGTCTTCCATGTGTGAGAAACAGGTCGAGGAAAGTTATTAGTTTTTCCCCTTGCTTTCACTGGTCTTGAGTGTTTTATGCAAAATTGATACGACACTGCAGTGAACCCTTTGCCAGCATCGGAGCCCTGTTATGTCACTTTTGAGAATAGTTTCAGACAGGAATGTTCATCAAGCCACAAACTTTCTTCCTCACCGTGTTAAAGGCAGAAGAACGCTGTCCTTTTTTCATACCTCACCACCATGTTCTGGAAGATGCCTACCCTTGCTAAGTTTTAGTCCCATCTCCGGACACGCAGGATCAAGTCTCTGAGAGTAGCTGAAGCCTCTGGGGGTGTGCAGTTAGACTTAGGGTGCCCAGTGGGGATGATATGCCACCGTTGTGACTCAGGAATCTTGGCATTGCATGAGTCTGTGCAGCAGAGAGG